TTTTTTTTGTTGTTATTGAGTTGTATGAGTTCTTTATATATTTTGGATATTAGGCCCTTATTGGAGGCATTGCTTGCAAATATATTTCCCTATTCGGATGGTTGTCTCTTTACCTTGTTGATGGTTTCTTTTGCTGCGCAGATGCTTTTTAGTTTGACGTAGTCCCATTCATTTATTTTTGCTTTTACTCCTCTTGTCTTTGAGGTCAAATTTGTAAAATTCTCTTTAAGTCCAAGGTCCATGAGTTTAGTTCCTATGTTTTCTTCTACGCAGTTTGCTGTTTCAGGTCTTATATTCGGGTCCTTAATCCATTTTGAGTTAATTTTGGTGTGTGATGATAGACAACAGTCTAGCTTCATTCTTTTGCAGGTGGCTTTCCAGTTTGCCCAGCACCATTTATTGAAGAAGCTTTCTCTTCTTCAATAAATTATTTGCCCATATAAACATGGGTTTACTTCTGGACTCTCGATTCTTTTCCTCTTGTTCGTGTGTCTGTTTTTCTGCCAACACCATGCCATTTTGATTATTGTAGCTTTGTTGTATAATTTGAAGTCGGGCAGAGTGATGCCTCCAGGCTCATTCTTTTTTCTCAGGATGGCTTTGGCAATTCGGGGTCTTTTGTGTTTCCATACAAATCTGATTTTTTTTTGTTCTATTTCTTTAAGAAATGCCAATGAGATTTTGATGGGGATTGCATTAAATCTGTATAATGCTTTAGGTAATAAGGTCATTTATTCTTCTAATGCAAGAACATAGAATATCTTTCCATTTCTTTGTATCTTCTTCAATTTCTTATAATAAGCTTATATATATTTTTTAATGTGGACAATTGAATTTAATGAACAAATATAATGGTGAGAATATAGAAACTAGGCATTTTGCAGATTTTAAATTTTAGATTATTTTTGGGTGAAAATTCATAAAGTTGTACCCATGCTAATGACATCCTGACTTATAACATGTCTTCTTAATTTTCATTTTACATGGGTCTTCAATGGATCTTTAGAAATATTTTTGTGTTAAAATTGATAGGGATTTGGAAGTTATATTTTTATTGTCAATTTCTATTTATATTGCATTATGGTTAGAGAATATGCTCTACATAATATCATTTTTAGTTAAAATTTTATTTGTGACCTAGTACAATTTTTGCAAATGTCCATGAGTTTTTACAGATTAACCTTGTTCATTGTGCTGTTTAAATGTTCTATATTCTGACTTTTCTCTTAACTTTTTGCTCTATCAGCTGTTGAGAGAGATGTTAAAATATCCCATTATAAGACTAGTATATTTATCAATTCATCTTTTTCTTTCAATCACTTTTTGGCGTTATAGTTGTACATTGGGTTTTGTCATTGCTTTTGTTGTTTTGATGTATATTCAGTTTTTCTGTTAGATGTATTTGTTATATCCAGTCTATGTCTAGGTTACAAAATAGATATGATCTTGGAGCTGCTCTTAACTGGTGAATTTAGTCTATTTATGTTTATTGTGATCACTAATATTTGGGTTCATTTCTGTTATTTTGTGCTTTTAAAAAATTCATTATGCATTATTTACTTTTCCTTTTTGGCGTTTACCACAATTCTTGTTTTCTTTTTCCTCTTCTTCTAGTTTAGAAGTCATACTTTCTGTTTCAATTCTTTTAGTAACAACATATATTTTTAACATATATTCTTGATTAATTTGAGAATTCAGGCCACTGTCTCTAATAGAAATCTCCCATCCCACATAAAGACTCTTAGAAAGTTCTAACCAAAATCATTACTCTCTTATCTTACAATCGATTGTCTGGTATTTTGATTCTACTTTGTTTTTCTACCTCAAAATATTGGTTACTATTATTTTATTCATTGCTTTTTAGATTCAATCTCATACGTTCAATTTATTTTATTACCATTGTTTTTTGAACCTCATTGCTTCCTTCTGGTCCATTTTCTCCATCCCAAATAACACAGTATAGTAGATAATTCAAAGGGGCTATGAATGATATATCTTATCAATCTTCGTCTAACTGAAAATGTCTTTAATTTATCCTCACTCTTTCATAATAGTTTAGCTGAGAATATAATTCTAAATATCTCCTTTCCCCCACCATCTTAAAGCTATTATCTCATTACATTTCGTTCCATAAACCTATAGTAACTGAAGTATTTCGATACCAGCATAAGAATAGAAATAGATCTATAAAACAGAGTAGAGAGTCCAGAAGGAGACCCTTTTATATACAATTATTTATTAAATGTCAAAGCATTTTGTAAAAATCAATGGGAAAAGCTTATTCAATAAATAGTATTGGAGAAATTGTACATCCATCTGGAAAAACATAACATGAAATAGTAATATGACATGATACAAACATACATGAAATTCTAAATAGATTTGAATTACAAAGTGCTTTAAGATATGGAAAAATATTTATATAATTTTGATGTGAAACAAAAAGATTTGACTATGTACTATAGTTTTTTATGACAGAGGACACCATGAGCAAAGTTAAAAGATATATAACAAGGCAAATATTGCATATAACAAAAGTTGTCTCTTGTTACTATATGAAGAGGCTTTTTAGGTTATTAGGGGAAATAAAGGCAAAAGAAATAGGCAGTTCACAAGTAAAAGAAATACAAAAGGCAAATATATTAGTTAACCATGATAGTAATTAAAAAAATACAACATGAAATGAGATTGTTTAGTCACCTGTCAGATTAGCCAAGATTAAAAATTAACTTTAATGCCCAATTGTATTATGAGAAAATAGGTAGCCCTTAGAGTATTATTTAGATTATAAATTTAAAAATTTTGGAGGGCAACCTATCAATATGTATCTCAATTTTAAATGTTTATATGCCTTTGTTCAGCATTTCTTGATTTCTTTGAATTTATTATAAGAAAGTAATAATTGGATACATGTACAAAGATACATTTTCATTGCAATATTTTTATTAGCAAAGAAATTAGGACCAGCCTAGATTTCCATCAACTGAGGACACTTTAAGTGATGCTATACTCATAAAACAGAATGCTATATAGATTTTTAAATTGTAAAATGCATTTTTTAATAAAAAGAGAAAAAAGCAGGTTATGAAATATACAATATCCTAATTTTGTATATAAAATGTGGAAAGGTAAAAGAAAAAAATTTTAAACTAAAAGAATTTATGCCAAATTTGTGCTCTTTTACATTTTCCAGATTTTTTTCAATTAATTTATTATTTGAAATATTTATGTATGTAAGAAGGGTGTACGTATACACACACATGCATGTAAACATTTTAAGAATGTATTATAAAAGTGTGTTTCTTGATAACTGTTTGGAAATACCAATGTTCAGTTTCTAACTTTTTCCCATCTGTCTGAAGAAAATTCCTAATTTCATTGTTTGGAAACAGATATGTCAACACCCTTTTAAAGATAAGTGGATTTAGTATTCATAGATGACCTTGAAATGGAGACCTTGAGGTCATTTGGACTATTGTCCTTTAAAAGTCATATTACTGATTTTGCTAAAACAGTCACAAAAGTAATAATCTTTGGTACATGCCCCACAGGCTCCAGAAACTAAGTCAGTCTTCTGTTCTAAGACACCTTCTGAGAATAGACTACGGTTTTACAATGACATCACTGTGATTTTTACCCTGGCGACTCAAGGAACTTGAATGCTGGGTCGGCAAAGGGACAGGAAAGCACCGTGTTATCATCTGCTCTCCATCTTAGGCTCCAGGAGGGAAAGGTGTGGGTACCGCATAGTAAGAAGGCAGAGGAATTCTGACGAGCAGCTGCACTGCCTGAGCAAAGCCAAGAAAAACGGTGGGCATGTGAGCCGAGTGAAGGAGCTTCTGCTGAGCGCCCTGGGCCCTGAGCAGCTGGTGCTCACGCTCCTGGAGGCGGAGCCGCCCAACGTGCTGGTGAGCCGCCCCAGCGCACCCTTCACCGAGTCCTCCATGATGATGTCCCTGACCAAGCTGGCCGACAAGGAACTGGTGCACATGATCGGCTGGGCCAAGAAAATTCCCGGTAGGGCTTTCTGGGTCTCAGCTTTCCATTTATTTGTAGAAAGGCCTGCCCCTAACTTTTACAGTACAAGACTACAAGATGGAGGTCCGCAAAAGATGGTCTCTGTATTTAACAGTTTGACAGCTTGATTTATAACCTTTAAATGAAATGTGTTCCCTCTTCCCATCTCCACATATATACCTTTAACACGTCCTGGATGGCCAGGTTCCAATTTGGAATTCTTCTCTGAGTTCTGTACAGCACAGGGGGAATCGTACATGTCAGGGCCCTTTCCATGCCAAACTCTTCTTTTCCCATCCCCAGATCCATCCCACACAGCCTTGTGCAAAACCCATGCTGCATGTTCATATCTCCTACAGACACTAGCATTAGTCACCTCTCATGCCTAGTCTGTGAAGGTGGACAGGGAAGAGTCCAACTAGACTCTGGAAGTGGGCTTGGGCCATTTGGGCAGGAAACTCAAGGGTTCTAAGACCTGAAACATGGTCTAAAAGGAAGAGGCCAGGGGTCCACACTGACCAGTCTACTGGCTGTGGACTCCTCACCCTGAGAGGAGTGGTACAGGCAAGTTAAGGTGGGGTGGGATTCATTATGACCAGTATGACAGTGAAAGGTTTGTTAGATGCTAAATAGGAATTTGTAAACTATTGTCCTAATAGAAAAAGACTCACATGAATTACTATATATGGACAAATAGAATAAATCAGCAGCTGAAGTTAACATGAATCATCAATAAACCTGAAATACCATTAAGTTAAAAATAGGGTTGATGATTCATGTTGCCATTTGGAACCTGCATTTTCAGTACTGTAATGTGATCATCTCCCCAGGTCAGTATTGCATTGTGCTGAATTGATATTTCTGTGAAAGAGTGAATCTAGGATTCAAACATAGAATGGCAGCAACCCATCATCCTCCTGAAAGGGCTTCTTCATGCATGTCTTTACAGTCGTCTAAGAAATGAGGTCTCTCTCCAAGTTCTAAGCTACTAGGGACAATTCCTCTGGCCTGAGTGGTGGGGGCAGGAACTCCTTCAGGCAAATTGTAAGGATTGGAGCGGGTAAGAAGTTGGGGATAAAGAGCTGTGGGACCCAGGCCTAGGCTAGTGGTATGTCTCAGGGTTATTTGTTGGCTTCTGAGCTGTCTGAAGATTTTCTGGTTTCCAGTTCTGTTTTGATAGTCTGACACTTTCACCTTTGCCAGAATTATTTTCTCTGCTCTTTCTCAGAGGAGACAATACCGATGCACTTCCCTCTGGCCTTTGCTCTACACATATTCCAAATACTGTATTTCAGGACCCCACATGGAGAGCAGTGGTGAAAATAATTATTGCTGAGAGCTGTGCAGCTTTGTGTCCTAACAAAACTGAACTGCAAAGCTGCATGAGGCCCTCTTCAAGCCTGGTGTTTTGAAAAGTTTCCAGAAAACTTAGGTGTAGTCTGGAGGTGCGATTCCCCACCCCTGCTCAGCTGATATAGTCACTGTCCAAACCAAAAAATGTTAAAATATCACCTAGGCTTGATCTTGTCGAATATCTACAAGTATAAGAAGTTCGGCCTCCCTTGGTAGGCTTATTGTTTATAACTGCGGGTGAGATTGGAATGCAAACACATATTAGAAACATAATTGAGCATAGAATGTGGCTTTGGAAAGGATTTATGCATCTTTCCATTCATTACTCTATTAACTTCTCCCATGTGCAGATCTGCATTGTCATTGTTCAAAGATTTGAACCAGGAGTGCTCTCTGTGCCATAGTTTCCTCATCTGTAAAGTGAGGATGATGAGAGAACTTACCTGGAGGAAATTCTCAGAGGCAGTCATTGTAACCTCTATTATTTTCTGTAAGAAAACCAAGACTTAAAAAGAGATTAAGGAACTAGGAAGAGGCGGAGCTGGGATTCTAACTGGAGTGCATTACACTCCAAGGCTGTGCATTTGATAACTGTGTTTATAGTACACAGCCTCATCTTTTTATCATGACTTGTGGAGAAAGCACTAGAGATCTCTCCTTTGCTTTTGAAGCACTCACCTCCCTAGAGATTACCTGTTTTCTTTCCAGTTCTTTGACCAGTGCATGCTATTAGACTATCAGGACCCGCTTCAGGTGTTAAAATTACTCTTCATGATAGAATAGCCTAGCAATAGCACTCCTGCTCAGAGAAGAGTGAGTCTAACACTGGATGGGAAATTTTAAGCAATTGGAGAAATTCTTTCAGTTGAAGCCTTGACTTTCTGCAGAGACTGGCCCTGCTCTGTCTGCAGCCTCCCACTCCTCCTGGCCCCAGTCATGGACTGGGCCAGACAGGCAGTCTCTCTGGCTGGCAGCCCAGCATTATCTTTCTCAGCAGTAGAAAGCAGTTATTACGCTATAACTAACAAAGATTGGTTCCTGCTTTCTGTTCTTCACTAGCATCTGTCTGGGAAGCTGTGTAAGTCCAGGTAACAGTCCTTTATAAATTCTAAGTGATGTATATTTGTCTCTAGAAGGGGTCCCAGACTGGAAATTGTGAGTTGCACACCTTAAGTTCAAAATTTTCTTCCTTAGGTTGGTATTTAACCACATCTTTAAAATATCGATTGTTTCCTTGTTTGTGTTTTCACAGCTTTTGAAAACTTGCTCTTCTGTTTCTACAGAAACAGGGAGTGGAGGAGGAGGGTAGGTGTGTCTCATAGCCTCTCGCTTTCCCCAGGCTTTGTGGAGCTCGGCCTGTATGACCAAGTGCGGCTGTTGGAGAGCTGCTGGATGGAGGTGCTGATGGTGGGGCTGATGTGGCGCTCCATTGACCACCCTGGCAAGCTCATCTTTGCTCCAGACCTTGTTCTGGACAGGTGAGAAAAATGCAGTGTTTCCTCTCTAGCCGGTTTGAGTGAGGCGTCGAGTGAGTGGAAACAAAGTCCTGGATGCTGCAATTAAAATCTTATACACCTGAAAGGGCTATTAAGAGCTCCTTTGCTGGGTCAAACACCTGAGAAGGAGAGCATGGGTACAAGGTGTCAGTGTCCTGTGACTCATTCTTACCTGCAGTGCAGCAACCATAACAGTTGCCTACGTCCTGCAGGGTATGTGCCACCAATTGTATAGGCCAACTCAGATTTTTCTGTATTAAAAATTCCATTTTCAGGTTATAATTTTAAGTGGTCCTACTGTTCTTTCCACTTGTCGGGACCAACCATATTGCCAGCTATCTGGACAGGTGATGAAGTTCTTACAGATCTGCCCAGTTTATATTAATGTGCTGTAACTCACTCTAATTGCATATAGCATTTTTGACAATAGCAGTGGAAAGAATGGTCATTAAAACCAGACGAAAGTTAATGGAAATTGGGGACCGATAGTGCTAATGCCTTAACTTGGTTGCATTTAGTTTTCTTTTAAAGATGGCACAGAAAAAGAGCCAGTTTTTAATTAATTTAGGCCAACTGTTTTTGGAGGGAAAGCTGAATTATACAACACTCAAGTTTTTTAAAAGGAAAAGTAAGACACTTTTGTGGTATGAATTTGAACAGATCGAAAATCTCCATAGAAATGGATTTCCATATTTCTTATTGTGAAAAGTTCTTGTGTCAAATGTTCAGTCACATTTGACTCTGTGCACAGAGCAGAAGGATACATAGTGCCATGAATGGAAAGGATCTGCCCCAATTCTTGGTATTACCTCTTTAGATCATCAGAAGATCCCTATACACACATTACACAAATGAAAAGTGACCCCAAGGTATTAGCATTCTTTTCGCCAGTTGTCATGGATGTGGCAACACTGGCAAAGAGTACCATTCTAAGTAACAGAGGTGTTTTGGTGGGAAGAGCTGGAGCATGGATTGTGGCCTGAGCAGGAGCAAGCACAGGTGGTAAATTATAGAGGGAGGTTCTGGAAGTCTAGGACAGGTAAGACCCTCCAGTAACAATTAAAATAGCTAACTTGTTGGCTTGTATGTGCCAGGCACCATCTTCAGCACTTGATGTGCGTTCAGTCGTTTTCTCTCCACCACAGCCCTTACTGGGTAAGCACCATGATTACCCTTATCCTTCAGATACAGGAATGGGAGGTCAGGTAACTTGGCTGCAGTTACAGGGTAGTAAGAGGTGGGGCTGACTGTGAAGTCCACGCTCTTAACTACAACAGTGCATGCCTCTCAGTGGGGTAGACAACTGGAAGGGGAAAGAGGAGGAGGCTGAAAGGCAAACTAAGTTTTACTTTATTCTTCGTCTTAGAAATAACAGCTTTATTCTATTCTTTACTCACTTCATAAACCTACTCCTGCTGTCATCTCATGGTACCATGTTGCACGGCAGGCTGAAAGGCTCAGTGCCCAGTTAAGCCATAGCACTTGTTCATTTACTTACTCATTATGTGCCACTTGGTGTTTAAAGTCTCAGAGTGTCTCTCTCTCAATCTCTCTCTCTCTCTCTCTCTCTCTCTCTCTCACACACACACACACACACACACTCTCTCTCTCTCTCCTCCTCAGCTGCAAAAAACAAGACTGCCCCAGCTGAGAACCAGCTGATTTAAAATATTCTCATTCTCTCTCTCTCCCTCTCCCTCTCCCTCTCCCTCTCCCTCTCACTCTCAATTCTCCTAGAAGTTTGTGCTAGGAAGAAGTACCATCCCTTGATGAACCAATAAATCTGCAGATATTGGGATTAAGTTATTTTATTTTTGTCTTGATTTCTAATTGATGCCCCATTTAGTGTTTAAGTGACTGTTTCATTCCTGGTTTTTAGTACAATTAACTTTCCTCTTTGTATGGTTTCTTTAACTCCTGTAAGTATGTGTATAAGTTTTTATAAATTGACACAAATCCCAGATAAATGTTAGGCCCACCTTTCAGTTAAGTACTAGAAGGGGGGAGAAAAATCTTCTTATAAATTATTTTTAATAGATTTACATTACTCTTTAAAAATATTTGAAAGTATTATGTTTTATAACAAATCTAGTGTGTTTGCTTACTGCAGAAGGGAAGTTCTTGGGAATTGTAAATGCAGACATTGAGCAGGCATTTATTTTGGATTGCCTACTGGTGGTTATTTTTTTCTTGCAATTCCTATTGTTTTTAACACATTAATTCTTTAAAGTCTAGAATTTATATCTAAGATTTTTCATGCATTATATGCAGATAAGTGTATTTTTATGTAGTGGGTATATTTTCAGAGGAGTTACTTATTCAAAAGTGTTCGAAATGTTACTTATTCAAAAAGTCAGGGATCATGCACCAAAAAGAAATTCTATTATGAATCTTTTTTGCAATGTGAATAAATAATTTTGACAGTACTTGAAAATAACTGTCTTTTGGTGGGTTGTCCTATCAGAGTTCCATCAAGTGGTGGTATGATCATATAAGCAGTGAATACAACTAAATTAGCCGATTTGTAGAGAATGAGACTATAATTTGTGTTTCCCTTTATTCTTGTTGAGGCTTCTGCAGAGAGAAAACTTGAACCTTCTGAGGATGAGAGGAAAATCCGGTTATCTCACCTTATTTCTAACAAGGTAGTTCTCCTTTTAGTAACCACTAGAATCACAAATTCAGGTGAAGACCTACCACAGAATCTGAGCTTCTGCTTGCTCAAACAAACAAACAAACAAACAAACAAACAACAACAACAAAAAACAAACCATATATGCCAAGACATTTGGTATCCTTAGCATCAACAAGAAACTGTCCCATGTTAAATGTTATTAAAAAGTCAGAGGAAGTTTAAGTCTGGGCTTGGACCCCATTATAGATGTTTATGGAGTTCCATGGAATCAGACACGTAATCGTGAATATATGAGTTTGCCTTTGTGTCAGTTATTTGTATATTGAATGTTCTTTAAGATACCGAGAATTTTCTCTTCTAAATTTTTAGTTCACTTTTGTACTCAGATAATTTTCACCTGAGTTCAATATTTAAGTCCTGTCCACGAGCCAACCTTTGAGCTCCCTAACCCCACTGCCACCCACACAGATGTAAACTGTGGTCTGTAGCCACTTGTGTGCTGCCAGTGGATATATATGTAGGTAAAAAATAATGCACCTCAGAATGAGGCTCACTCATTCAACATTTTGTCCCTGGTATTAAACAGAATATTCTTTCATTAAGGAGTGGTTATCAAATAATAAGATAGTCCACACGGAAACACTAATTTTATTTTTATTTAAAACTAGTTTATGGACAAATGGTATGCAAAAGTAAATTTCTGTGAGTAGTTTGGTTTGATTGATATACTGTTTCAGTATTTTAACATTCAGCTCATACCCTCTATCTTGAATTCAGATCTTTTAATCCTAATTTCTTACGCATAATTCAGCATCAATCCACAGTTACAAAATAAATGAAATAGAGCTCGTTAATTTGTTATTTTAAAGTCCTTCATTCTGTTCCGTATAAGTTAATGTAGAAGTTTATCAGGGTGTCATTTGTGAGGTATTGTACCTTATTGCCTCAAATTTCGCATTTATTTTTTAGAAATGTACTTGGTTTTTATAGCCCATGAAGTGAATAAAGATATGCTAACCTTGCAGCTTCTTGAATGAAATGATTGGTTCTCACATCTGCTAGAGAAGACAGTCAGACCTGGTTCTTTAGAGCTGGTTAGAAATTTACTTTTTCCATGAGATACACATATTCTGATTACTGTAAGTTACACCATTTGTTGGGGCTTAAGATACCCTAGAATGTAAACTCTCCCTCCATTTTTGAAATATGAATTTGCATTAAAAATGGCATATATTTTAATGATTTAATGTCTAGGGACGTGTTCTTTGGCACAGGCAGCAGCTTCTGCAAAACAGGATTGATTTCAGATGAGTTCCATATGATACTACTCGGAGTGGGTTTGTGTGTGTGTGTGTGTGTGTGTGTGTGCATGCGTGCACACATGCATGCACGCACATGTGCTGTGTGTGCATAACCCAACCCTGAGTCTCACAGAAGAGTAAAGAATCAGCTATTAAATCATCAGTACAGACTTGTTGGATTTTTTGTTTTTGCCCCAAGAGATATTCTAAAACCAGCTATTCTCAGTGTCAGATGTCCTCAAACCCAGCAATTATAATTTCCAATAATTATATGTCCCTGGGCAGAGTGATTTGATGATGTGCCATGAGGAGCATTCAGTGAACGAGTACTTTTTGTGCCTCTGCTATGTGTATGGCATGCATCGTCCTTCCTGGACATTTGTTGCATGCTGCCTGGGGAAGCCTAGAGTGAGGGAAGTGGGTGAATGGGGCATGAGGAGGGTTGGGGGGTTTCCTACAGATTTTGGCACCCTTTGCAAGGACCCTGATTTTCCAAGGTGGCCTGATTCCCCATGAGTAACTTCCAGGGGACACTAATATTTTATCATTTAATGTGTGCACTTTCAGAAAGCCTCAACTGGTTGCAGAAGTTACCATGCTTGTTTGGCAGAGTGAGCAGTTTGCATGCTTGTAGCTTTGTGTGGGTGGGTCTGCAAGAGTGTGAATGCTGTGGAATGCAGGATCCTGGTGAGGGGCTGTCCTAACATAGCACTAAATAGGAAAGGCTTCACTAGGTTTGGGGATACCCACTGAGGTCAGTTCATTTGAATTGTACAGAGGCCCTTCCCCAATCACCACTGTCACTGGAAGTGTCACTTGGGGTAAGGAAGGAGGGGAGCAGCCAGTTCTTTGAAGATCTCAGGTTCTCTTCGGGGGCTGCTATGGAGACTAAAAACAAAACTCTTAGAAACCCACTGCTGCCACAGTTGCCCTTCGCTGTGCGCTGCAGGCTCTTAGAAGCAGAGGAAAGTTGTATAGCAAAGTCATCTTACTGCTTTTCAAGGACTTCCATCCAGTTACTCTGTGACTCATGATAATAGTTTTTGGGAGCACTGAGGCAGAAAAATGTGTGTCTGGCTGGAGTGAATTGAAGCTGGTGTTTTCTAGATACAGGTAAAGTAATTAGCTTCAAAAGTATACTTAAAAATTCATTTATTTAAGGAGTACTAAACAATTTTATTATATGGTTCCAAGTTTGTCTAAAACTTTTGCTTAAAAGTAATCTTTAGCAAGTCAAAAATGCCCATTTCTCCATTTCTATCTTTCTTTCCAAATTCTAATCCATCTTCTATAATTGTGATTTCTTTGTACGTCATGTTAGTTTTTGTTCAAATTACATTTCACATTTCTTAGTTGCCCCACTAAGTTCTAAATGACCACCAGGAAGTGAGAGTTAAGCCCTAGGTGTGAAGGATTATTTCTTTTGGGGATATTTGCTTCTATAATGATCAGTCTACCTCATTAACACTTCAGAGTCTTCTGATAGAAATGTGGAATGTCTCATTTTAGTAATATGTGTCATATCTTGAGCTGGTTAGCTGAAATGGTTTAAGATGATCAACAAAAATGTTATTCCTCTAAGATAACATTTAGTGAACAGGTAGAAAGGAAATGTTGTTCCAATGCATATTTGCCTAAATGGTATTTCTTCAAATGTTTAGGGATTTATAGGAAATGCCCTGTACTCTTTATATAAAGATGAATCTTCATATAAAGCATGGTGTTTTCTCATTACCACCTTGTTATGGTTAAAACATGAACAAGATAAAATTTAAGATTAAAAATTCTTGCCTTTGATGATTACCTGAAGCTATATGTTTCTTAAATTTCCAAATGAACTTTTGTAGGGATGAAGGGAAATGCGTGGAAGGAATTCTGGAAATCTTCGACATGCTCCTGGCAACGACTTCAAGGTTTCGTGAGTTAAAACTCCAACACAAAGAGTATCTCTGTGTCAAGGCCATGATCCTCCTGAACTCCAGTAAGTAACCACACAGCTGGGCCATGTTTTATGGGGGAGAGATGCTGTTTCTAGAATTGGCGTGTCATCAAGAAGAGTGTTGAACTTATTTAAAAAGGGGAAAGTGGCTTTCTTTCCAACTTTTCTATTTCATTTTATAGGGATTTAAACTGTAGTTAACTTTTGGTAGCTTTAATATAAGTTGTTCATTGAGTGAATTACTGGTAGTAATTTAAAAGGTAGCTCAAACCACTTTGCTGGAAAAGAGAAAAATGAACTTTGAAGTGTTTACTTCTCAGACTTTTTTCAGTATTTATATAGGCATTTTACATGGTTCATATGCATTTATATTTACATTTTTGGGTCAATCTGCCTTTACAGATTCCTTTGTTCATTCATTTCATTCATTGATTCATTTGGTAAAGACATTGAAATTATAGTCCAGACTTCAAATAACTCATAGTGGAGGGAGGGAGAGAGAAAAGAAATCATTAAAAAGAATGATCCTAGTGCTATAATAAAGTGTGTACAGAGTACTATGAAAAAAACATAAGGAGGGTGCCAGAGTGGTTGTAGAAGGGGATGATGTTTGAATGAGTCTTTAGGAATGGGCAGGTATTAGCTGGGCAGGTGGGAGGAGTAGGTGTGGGAGAACATAGGTGAGCCGGGAGCTGCAAGTCATGCAGTGGAAGAACAGAGGGAGGTGCACAGGGTCGTAAAATGCAGCACCAAGGATTATGCTGCACACCTCAGGCTGAGAACCACTGCCTGGGGCCTTGAGTGGCCCTAGAAGAGGTTCAGCCACGGGAGTATCATGGGCAAGTAGGTCACAATGGCTTGAAGGGTCACTCTGGCTTCCATGTGGAGGACTGCCTGGAGAGAGGGGAGAGCTATGCAGGGGGCCCAATCAGAGTCGTGAGGGACAGTGAGAGCTGGAACTAACTTGATGTGGAAGGGCCAGGGAAGAAGAACCTGACTTGAGGAAAATGAGGAAGGTGTCTAAGATATGTTTATGTTGTAGCTTTGCTGTTTTTTTCTTATATAAATGATACCTGGTTATTATAAACATTCTAACAAAAGAAAAAAATCGCTAGGAATTCTGCCACATAACCCCCCCTCTCCTGCCCAAGATAATCACAACTTTTGGTGATGATTCTGTAACAACTCCCTCCCTCCCTCCCTCTCCCTCCCTCCCTCCCCTTTCCATGCATACACACACACACACACACACAAATATACACACATGCTTATATACATAATTTTACATAAACAGCAGCATAGCATCTTATGTTAAAAGTGTGGATACTTTGAAAGAAGCTTGCTTTGATCGTATTTTTTGCTTGACTTTTCCACCCCAATACCAAATAGTTAATCTTAACAACCTGACGGTGGACTTCATACCTTCTTCCATCCTTTAATAATCATTTAAAAAAATATCTCACCTCTAATATGTATACAGATAGGCTTTTCTTTTTTTAAAAATTGGGACAGTGTATACAAATATTTCTCTACGTCTTGCTTTTTTTACTTTTCAAAATGCTGTGAAAGCCCTTCAGGTCAACTAGGAGAGAAGTAATAATCTTTTGACTAAACGCATTGTCTAAATTGTCCAACCACTTATCTGTTGATGGGCTTTACTTAACATACAGTTCCTTTTGTCTCCTGCCTTTATAAACATTGCTGCAATAAATAGAGATGTGTTATTTTGTATACATTTCTAAGTTGTATGTAGTTTTTATACCGTTCACTTTACTGTCTACCTGGTGTTTGATCCAGCTGGCATACCAGGTATTCATTGCTTTGCTTAGCTATTTACTCTTGTTGGGTCTTTAAGTTATTGTTTTTTCTTTCTCAAATAATATGTATATCTAGGTTTTAACCCTCAATGAGGAACTTAATAGATCCCTTCATTTGGGCAACATATGAGACTTTATTACTTAGATTTTATCCAAATTTAGAGCTTAATGTTTGCAACATCAGGAATCTGTGAGATCATGTTTTTCCACTTTACTTTAAATCAACTAAAGCAGCAGGTCCTGAAGCCTACACTGTGCAGAACCTGTGGCTACACAGGGCCCAGGTGGCCTCCTGATCTGGGTCCAGCCGACCTCTTCCTTTCCGGCCTACACTCATTTCTTCTCTAACACTTGCACGTGCTCTTAGCCGTTGGCACTAGTTTGATGAAGGGGAAATGGAAACGTATAGAGCAGTGCTTCTTAGAATATCTGCGGTGAAGGACCAGGTTTCTTTTTCTTTAATTTCTAAATTGGTATAGACAGTTGCCTTTGTAAAATGTAATAAAAATAAATTATTAGAAAAGTGAAATGAAAGTACAAAATACAAGCCCTAGGTTTTTTTGTTTTTAATTTTTTTATTTCATTCAATTGATTTAAAATTACTCTGTCAATTGCTATAAAAGTTTCCACGTGCTTACCCTCAACTTCTACTTATTTTTTTGTGGGCTGTTAACAGCCTGTACTTAGAGTAGGCCTGGTGCTGTCCAGGAGATGTCCGGATTGGGGGCTGAGGTGGGGTTAGTCTTGAAGAAGAGGGTAGAGAGGGAACAAAGAAGGAATCCAAAGGTCATTTGAGGTTCAGAGACCCTGAAGACAACCATTGGGTACTTCCTAGTTGGGTCTCAATCTGGCCCTACCTGCCTGACAGGACGTTCTCCCTGAACCCAATTCTGGAAAGCAGACAGTGTTGAGCAGTGATGGTGAATTGTTGGACCAACAAAAAGTGTAGAGAAAGTCAAGAAGGCTCCTAAATGCTTTGGGGCTCCTGGCATCTTCTTGACATTTGTCGTTACCACTCACCCTTTAAAAAATAATTTGAAGGCTTCACTTACATCAGCGATTAAGTTGATGTGCATCTAGGAAATGTTCAGCTAGGACATTTGAAATTGTGGGAAAAAGATTAACTTTTCTTGATCTTCTCTTTCAACTCATCTACAAACATTACCTCACATGTGTGCCTCCATTTCTGTCTTTGTTAAAGGAAAGATTTGCTTGAGAAGTTATGTTCTCATCTTAGCACAGGAGGATCATTAAATGCCAGATTATGGGGCTTCTCTTACCTGTAGAAATAATTGAGAACTCTTTTCTGTGTATCAAAGTTCTCCTTAGGAAGTAGTTTGCTTCCTGTTACAACACTTTGCAGTATAAAGCCTTCTGTTTGGCAAGGCTCTTTATAATCATTTTAGCCTGTGAGACGTCATATTATGTGGTTGTGAAAGCTAAAAGCATCATCTGCGCAAATGGGAAATACACACCTATGGCATTCCTCCTGCAGCATCTGACAGAACTGCCATGTTTAAGAGAGTTACAGAGGGTGAGGCAGATATGCGGTGTAATTACCACGGGAGGCGGTAAATGGCAATTGTTTATGGTAAATTCGTTTTTAAGACAGTTCCTTTCTCGTTGAGTAGTCATAAGAGTTGTTAAATGAATTTATTCTCTTCGGTGTTGCTGTTAGAAAATGGGATTCTGTTTCTATTGGAAAGTTTCCACTATCAGGAGAGGTGGGTCTTTTCTATGCTAGATTTTAGGCATTTAAAGGTATAGGCTTTTTTCTTCTGAATTATTTGTAAAATTAAATTAAAAGCAAAAACAGGAACAGAATCCACTTTCTCACCTTAAATTTAAAAAATCCTGACAGGAAGCTATGTATGATGTCAGATGGGTACTAGATTTATCAGGATGATCTCTTTGTAAGTTTTTTAAACATCTAATCACTATGTTGTACACCTGAAACTAATGTAATTAAAAAATAAATTATTAAAAAACCCTGACAATATATAAATTAGAGATTGGACATTGGACAACAGGCCACACAGGACAGTGATCCCCAGGAGAAGGGACACAAACAAGGCGAGCCCTTTGCCCAGTTTACTTTCTGGAGCCAGTTTTCAGGTTGCAGTGTAAGGAGAGGTGACTGAAGAAGACACTAGTGTCTTACTGGACCAAGGAGATAAAGTTGTGAATTTGGGGATGCCAAGCACTAAGCTGCTCATGCTTATGAAGATATTAACCATGGATGGGGGGAAAATCCATCAGAAAGGAGCAGGCAGAACAACCCCTAGAGTTCGTACAGGGCGATGGATAGTTCAGGTTCTTACGAGCCAGAGGGGGAAACCTTGTAATAATACTGAACATTGGGTTTAATACTCAGAAAGGTATTTCCTCAGTAGCAGGATGAATTCGCCCTACAGTAAAAGCTGCTCCACCCCTACCAAACAAAACTGAAAAGCCTGAAGAATCAGACTTTTGCGAAGTAACTCAACTGCATCCCAGAACAAAGCAAAGAATATTTAAAAGACTACAACAATATCTAGCACCCAACCAAGTAAAATTCACCATGTATGGTAATCACAAGTTAGCAAGCATGCAAAGAAGCGGGACACATGACCTATAATGAGGAGAAAAACCAATCTACTTGGAAAAGATCCCCAAATGGTACAGATGATAGAATTAGTAGACAGGGACATTAAAGCAGTTACTGTAACTCTATTCCATATATCCAAGAGATGGAGGAAAGCATGAGCAGGTTAAGGAGAGACATGGAAAATGACACACACACAAATTGAACTTCTAAATGTAAAAACTGTTTCTACATGGGATTTACATCTGATTAGGCATAGCAGAGGAAAAGATACGTAGCCATAGCAATGGAAACTATCAAAAAAGAATGGAAAGAAACAGTTAAAAAAAAAAAAACCAGCATTAGGGAACTATGGGACAACTGTAGTTGTTAACATACATAAATTTGAGTCCCTGAAGTGGTAGGATGGGGGGTGGTAGAGAAAAATACTTAAACCATGGTTGAAAATTTCCAAATTTAATGAAAACTTTAAATGCAAATCCAAGAAGCTTGATGAATCCTAAGCACAAGAAATATGAAGAAAATCACACTAAAACACACATCATAATCAACTTGCTTAAAACCAGTGATGAAGAGAAAGGTTTTAAAAGCAGCCAGAGAATAAAGATATTACAGATAGAGGAACAAAGACAAGGATGACA